GGGGGGGGAGGTGTGTATTGAGGAATATCCTTGTCCAGCCCCATATTCTCCACTGTTCTCCACCTATCTCCTTAGTAAAGAAAACAGAATGGTTTCAGTTGAGTTAATGCCAACGGGTAATGGGGAACCTACGTCAGTCTGAGTGGAACTGTGCTCCATAGGCTTTACAATGTCGCTAGTTTGGACGTAGATTGCCAAGTCTTTCTGCAGAGGTGTCTCTGCATGAGATTGAACCACTAACCTTCCCACTAGTGGACAAGAATTTAATGGTTTGGGGCAACCCAAGACTCCAAGTTCTTAGCAGCTCCACTTAGTACACAGCTCAGATTCAACACAGCCTAAGCTCACCGGAGTTCTTCTCATACAAGGCAAAACCTCCCTGCACATGCCCGTGGCAGGGAGTATTACAGTACCCAAGACAGACTGGGAATTCATCCTAGAGCATATCTTTGCCCTCCTCTTACATAATCCCTATCACCCAGGATGTTGATTTGCCTCCTCCATGCCTTTCCAGTCTTCTCTACCTAGTCTTTCTCTGAGACCGCCGCCCGAGCCACCTCCTGGCTCCGCCTCCACCATCGCCCCCTCACATCTTCTTCCCCACCTTTGTTTTGTTGAAATGTTTTCACTTATGTTCTGCCGTTCACTCCTTTTTAAGAAAGAAATCTATTTTATTGTTGGCTTGCACAACTCTTATCACAGTTGATCCATTCATCCACTGGGCCAAGCACAGTCTACCTTTCATTCTTTACTCACTTAGATGCAATTCTCTTTCCCTTTCAAGTCTGCTTCAGTTTGACGTTCCCTTCTTTCATTTCATTTTTTAAAAATCATTTTATTGGGGGCTCATCCAACTCTGATCACAATCCCTACATACATCTGCTGTCTTAAGCACATGTGTACATTTGTTGCCATCATCATTCTCAAAACATTTGCTCTCTACGTGACCCTTTGGTACCAGATCCTCATTTCCCCCCTCCCTCCCCGCTCCTTACTCCCTCATGAACCCTTGATAATTTATAAATTATTATTTTGTCATATCTTACACTGTTCGACGTCTCCCTTCACCCACTTTTCTGTTGTCCATC